GACACACTCCGTCATCCGCAGCGAACAAGAAGATATGGTGATGATTATATGCTCTATTTCTGATTCAAATCACCTGAAGCTAATTCTCGCACCGAGGAACTCTGCCACATCCCAGTTTTTCTCATTCTTATTGCTGGGCAAAAATATCCATCCCCTGCTTTAGGTTGCAAACCAGCAGCGCCAAAATCAACAATTCATGGTGATAGAGCCGTTTCCCTCCCAGGACTTTGCTCTGCACAAATGCCAAGGCCTCTCCCCTTGACAGCCGGTTCAAGCCAAAACAACGTACTGTCGTCCACATCGGCAAACACTTGGGCGTTGACCAGCTCGTGATACAGTCCTTTACGGGCGATCAACTCGTCATGAGTTCCGACTTCGACCACCTAAACGAAGAAGTGAGCTATTACTATCAAAGGCACATTCTACGCTGATCATATGGGCGGAGACACTTAACTGCTGTGTAATTCCTCACAGGGCACATTATTAGTTGGAGATTTTGGTCGAGTTCGTACTCCCACCCCCAAAGGGTAGCTTGATACGACCCCCCCCCCCCTAGTTCCCTCCTGTGCTACGATCGAGCTATCCAGCGGGAGTGGGAGAGGGAGGCATTGCACATCACTGACGTTATGAAACGGGAAAAACTAGCAGGGAATCGTACTCCGGTCTGTCCCCCATCTGTGTAGCTACACTTTTTCTTAGGATTTCCACGACTTTCTATTTTCCAGAAATTTCAAGGAAGCTTCAGTTTTCTCTAAAAATTGATGGCAATAGGTGCGTTATATAGGCAAAGTGTGAACCGGAAAAACCACAAAAAGGTAAAAAAACTGGGAAAATTCCTCACCTTGAACTTTCTTCAGAACAAAGGATTACGATATAGACTATCTTATCTCCCTCATCCCAACAAGCAGAGAAGTCAACCCCATCCGCGAGATTAATATGTAGTCCGGCGGAACAAAAAATCAACAACGTAAAAAAAGATTTTAGCACTAATACGCAGTATTTAGTTCACTTCATTTCTTCATTGCATAATCGTGGTCAGCATTCGGATTGTCGACAGGCCGATATGAGCAGATATACCTTCCTTTGGATGCCTGAAATATTTACTTCAACACTGAGGTTACCCGAGAGAGAACACCCAAACTTCTTACATTTTCAAGCGCCTGTTGAACGATGTGTTCACTTTCAGCATCGAGAGCACTTGTGGCTTCGTCGAGGAGAAGAATTTTCGGGTCTCTGACCAAAGCACGGGCTATGGCTATCCGTTGCTTTTGGCCACCGGACATTTGGGCTCCGCGGTCACCGACGTTCGTGTAGATTCCCTGGAAGAACTTTCTTTATTGCTAAGCTAACATGTCTCTTAAAGACACATTCCTCGATGATCGAATTGGCGGAGCAGTAGGCGGAGACTCACAACAACCGTGTCTTGCTCATTGGCGCGCCCTCCTGTTCACCGTTTCAGAACGAGGAAGCCACCAATGAGAAGCAGAACGACCATGAGCCTTTGCCCATTCGTTATCGCGTGATGCAAAACAAACAACAACAAACGGGGATCAAACTCACATCAGGGAATGACTGCACGAAGTTGTAGGCATTTGCTTTGCGAAGAGCCGCAGTAATTTCTGCATCTGTGACATTTTCACGTCCATAGCGGATATTCTGAAAGGATATGGGTAATTTCTTGAAGGGGGCGGGGGTGAGGAGGTAGGCTATCAACGGCTAGACTTCCCTGAAAAAGGCTGACCTGTTCAATTGTTGTGTTGAAAAGCATCGGCTCTTGTGATACCACTCCAACGTAATTTCGGAGGAATTCAATATTGATTTTGTCAATATCCACTCCATCTATTGCTATCTAGAAAATCGATATATCGATTGATTTGATCAAAATCAATCTATTGATTGACTCAATATGTCGGTTTTGATCAGTTCTGGTTTTTCGGCTTGAAAAGGTTATGCGTAATGTCTAAGACAGGCACAACTACGTTGCACCAGCCGTAGACATAAAAGACATTAGGCATTAGCTGCGACGCAGCCGCACTCGCAGTAACGCCCATGTCTCTCGTCTGGAATAAGCCACGATTGCTTTACCAAACGGGAATAGATATTTTGTCTATGAAATCCATTAGAAATACAACACTTTTATGGAATGGCATGAAGGGATCCATACCTTCCCGTCTTCGGGGTTGTAGTATCGCAGTAACAACTGGATTATGGTACTTTTTCCGCAACCACTTGACCCTACGAGTGCTACCGTTTCGCCAGGATTCGCTTCGAACGAAACACCCTGAAAGTGCAAAAGAGAAAGTGCAAAGAGATGGGAGCGTTGTGGTTTG